CGAGAGGAGCCCCGGGACCCTACCAGGACCGAGAGGACCCTGCCCCGGCAGCCCCAGAGCTCTCCCGGCACCGAGGGGAGCCCGGCCCGGCCCGAAGAGGAGCCTGCCCCGCATTTCTGCCTCCTGCCTGCGATTTCCTTGGGGAGCAGCAGGAGCCGGCTCCTTCCAGAGGCAGCACCGGCCCTCAGAGCCGTCGTGGCTGGGCCCGTGTTGGAGTGAGAGGAGGACGGCTCCTCTGCTACCGGTGTTCTAAGCAGTCCCTTTTCACACACAATGTTTTTCTCCACAGCTCTCCACATCCATGAACCCCTCCTCACCACCCCATTTAGACACTGATTGAAAGCCCAGAGCGGTTCCAAGGTGCCTCAGGCCCGGCACAGGGAGCAGCTCTGCCAGGCCATGGAGCTCCCCTGGAGAGACATCCCTGGCACCCAGCTGATGATGGTGTAAAGGGTAGGGAACGCAGGGGAACGAAGCTCTGGAGGTCTCCTGCCCAGCCTTTGGGACTGTCACCAACCCAGGAAAACTCCAAGGACTTCTAATCCCTGGATTTTGGGCTGGCTGTTCCCCAGTTCCCTCCCCATCCCTGCAGGGGACGGAGCTCAAACTGTGACCGTGTGACCTGGGATTTCTCTTTGGGTACAACTCAAAGAAAGGATGGCAAAGCCAAACCTTTGCTAACAAGGAAACTTCACCTCCAGATCTCAGGTTCCTTCCCCAAACAGCAGGAGCTGCTTAAACCAACCACAGTAGATATTTTTATGAAGGAGGAAACCAATTTACTTTCCTCTGACTCCCTTCTCAGACGCAGTCAAATCACTTTGTACTCTCATTAAAGTTTGTTTCTCGTTGCAAAAAAAATATCCAGAAGAATGTGAGCCCCAATATGTCAGATTTTCCTGTGCTCGAACAAATTATGCAAAGCAGGATTTTCTAATGAGCGATCTCCAGGAACCAAAGGGAACGGCAACACCTCCAGCTCCCACTGCCTTGTGCTCACCCAGCAGCTGAGTGGGGAGAAACAGCTTTTCATGGCTGGAAGTGAGCAAACAATTCCTGCTGTTTTAGGGGAAATTTCCATAATGGCCACAGCGCTGTTCCTGTGGGCAAAATCCAGAGGGAAAACCTGGCTGAAAGTGAAAGGTGTTCATCTCTGCAGTTCCTCCAAGGTGCTCCCTCTTCGGCTGTTTCTCTCTCTTGTCTCTTCAAAGCCAAACCTTTCTGCCTGTGTCTCTCGATGCCTTTGTATCTGTGACTGCTCCCCTGGCTTTAATCAGCTCCAGGACTCCTGAAGGCATCTCCCAGGGCTGCCTGAGACTCTCCACGTGCTGACTAACCTGACCTCAGGAGATCCCTGCCAGAAAAAACTGCAAGATAAAAGCAAATTATTCCAGACTTCCGGACTTAATGAGGGCCTGTACAGCCCAAATCTAGGGATGGACTGACAGGGAGACTTTGTGTCCTGAAAAGAGGGCAGGGATGGGTGGGATCTTGGGCAGGAATTGTTCCCTGGGAGGGTGGGGAGGGGCTGGGCTGGAATTGCCAGAGCAGCTGTGGCTGTCCCTGGATCCCTGGCAGTGCCCAAGGCCAGGCTGGACATTGGGGCTGGAGCAGCCTGGGACAGTAGGGGTGACCCTGGGGACAGTGGAGGTGTCCCTGCCATGGCTGGGATGGAACAGGAGATCTTTAAGGTCCCTTCCAACCCAAATCCATTCTGGGATTCTGTTTCCAGAAGTGATGCAAACCCTTGGAGTTACACACAGAGGTATCAGGTAACTCTCCACCCCAAGAGGAGCACATCAGGCACAACTGCACAGAATAACAGCTACAGATCTCCTTTAACTGGAAAGGGACTCCCCGTAAATTGCCAAAAAAAGACATTAAAATTCCAGCTGATGAAAATTAGGTAAAATGCAGCTCTGAAACAAGTGCCTGGATTGCCTTTAAAATTAGGTCTCTCTGTGAGGTCAGGTGCCTGCATCTGCCAGCCACATCTGGGAAGGAAATTGGGAATCTGGGATGCAAATTGGCACTTGCGGACTTAGAAATGATGACTGGAGCCTCTGTGCTGCTTTGGGCATCAGAATACCTTGGAATATCTGCAGTTCCTTTTAGCTGGGGGACTTCAACAGGCAATTGAAGGCAATCTGTCAGACTTTGCTCAGAGTGGCTGAGTCAGAGCAGGGCCCAGCTGAAGCAGCTGCAGCTGGGCTTGAGCAGGGAACCTGAGAAATGGCTCCAAGGGTACGGCAGGAGCCCCTCTGCCAGCGTCACTCATCAGTGTCAGCCCCACACCAGCTCCACAAGAGACTGCTGTGCCCCACACTGGGGCTGTGGATGCTCTGCTTAAATTTACAGGAGCTTTGCACCGCAAAAGGCATCCAGATCACCATTTATATGGATTAAAACTGAGTGGTGCTCCCTGGCCCGAGTGCAGCTCCTGGAAATCCACACGTTCTGCATTGGAGCTGGCAATAAAACATACAAAAATGTGTGGAGTGAACAGAGGCAGAGCTTTCTGTACTTCACCCTCACTCGATGTCCACACAGAGCCGCTCTGAGGCTGCTGGAGAGGCACTTTGGGGCGATGGACATCGGGTGCTCTCTCTGCGTTCAACGCCAGCTCGTGTCTGAGCCCAGGGATGGCTCAAGGTCCTGGCAGCTCAGGGAGCACCAGGATCGCCCCAGCATCACCTGAGCATCTCCAGTTGTCTGCTGTGGTGGAGGAACAGCGAGCCAAGCTGTTGGTGTTGTTGAGGTGTGTGAAATCCTGGGTGAGCCGCAGGCTGCCCTAGCGAGGTGCTCGTTTCTGAAATGGCACTTCTGAGGTCCATCAGACACCCTGGAAAGCTCACAAAGCTGGATTTTCTGTACTTTCTGCTTCTCTCCAGTGTGCACACCATGAGGAGATCTCTCCCCAGCAGGCCAGGCCAAAGGGAACAGCAGAGATGCAGGAGCAGGTGGATTGCTGAGGCAGGAAGGAGCCCAGCATTTCCCGTCTGCAGGGCTCTGGGCTGGGAGCTGGTTGGAGTTTGGGGCTAAAGGGTTCAGGTTTCACTTTGCTTTGTCCCTTCTGACCTCGAGGTGTGTGAAAATTACTTGAAAAACCTCCAGAACTGTTGCCCTTCTTTGATAAGCTGAAGTATCAGCTCCCCGTGTGAGAACAGCTCTTTGATTGAGGTTTCCCCTTTTTCATTTGGATTATTTTTTATGGATGTCAGATCGGCTGCTCCTCTTTGTGACTATAAAAAATAAAAAATAGTGGCAGATCCTGCACCCTAAGTGCTTTTGATCACTGGTCAGTGCACTGATGGATGTTTTTCCATTGCATCCTTCATCCCAGGCTTTTTCAAGGCTGGTTAGGAGTTGGAAGGCAAGACCAAAGAATGCTGCTTTCTGACAGAATTCAATTTCCTGGGGAAAAAAAAATAAATATATATATATATTTTTTTTTTTCCCTGTGACCTAAATGGAAAACATATTGTTCTCAAAGTGCTGTTCAAACAGAATTACCCAAACCTTTTATCAACAAAGAGACCATCGTCTATCAGACATCTGGTGTGGATGTCAATTATAATAATTAATTAGACATCTCCCCAGATGCCTGACACTACATTCTGTCAGCAGATTTTTTTGACTTCAATCAGAAGTGCTGCTGCATTATGCATGGAGCTCCTGGAGGAGCTGGGAGTGGAGGGGAGCAGCCACAGATCCCAGGCAGGGAAGGGCTCCTGGTCCTGGGGCCGCCGAGGGAAGGTCGCACGCGCTGATTCCTCTGCCTCCTGTAACAACCCTCAAACATTTCACATTTCTTCACACACACAAAAAGGGTGAGAGGGGAAGGATAATGTATAAAATATATAAATCCAGGTGATTGCTGCTGGATCCTCGGGGTGGGGAGAAGAGAACTCAGGGAATGTCAGCACAAGCACGGGGAGCTGCTGCATCTGTCCCTCACCAACAACACCCTCAGGAATGACCCAGAAATTATCTCCTTAAACGTCCAGAAATGATCCTCAAAGGTCCAGAAAGAATCCTAAAATGTCCAGAAATTATCCTTAAATATCCAGAAATTATTTTAAAATTTCCAGAAATGATCCTCAAAGGCTCGGAGATGACCCTGAAAGGTCCAGAAATGATTCTCAAAGGCAACTGAAAAAGATAGAAGACATGAGACAGAAGAAAAGAGGACACCTTCCTTCCTTTCCCTTTACTTTCTTATTTCTTGTGGGTGTTTTTTTAAATTAAATTTAAAATTAATTAATTCCTGGAACATGTAATTCAAACAAACAAATAATTTTTTGTTGTTGTTTTCAGTTTTTCTAAAAAACTTTCACATTTTAGTTTTTAGTTTTTCTAAAAGGCTTTCACATTTCCTGGGCAAAACAATCTAATTATTTATCCTCAGCTTAGGAAATCGCTGCGGCCAACCTCAAAAAATTCATTTTTTTTCCAGCAAGGAAGAGCTGAGCAAACACATCAGCAACTTTCTCAGTGTTAGCAGGGGTAGGAAGTGCTGTGAAGCACCAAGAGCTGTTGTACCTGCTCCTGCAGTCCCTCAGGTGGGATCCAGCCTGAGGCTGGAATTGCTCTGGGGCAGGGACAGAATCAAACTCTGCTTTAAATGGTTTGGGTTTGCTGCTCTCACTGGGGCAAGCATCGCTCCTTTGCTGTGTGGGGTGTTTGTGAGGCTGGAGCAGGGTGCAGGGATGGCTGAACATGGAACCCCCAAACGCTCTCTGGGTGCTCAGTGCCTTTGCTTTGGAGGATTTGCCTGTGGAAATCAGAATTACAAACGCTCCCTGCGTTTGGAGAAGGAAAAATATTTGTAGTAATCCATGTGTTTCAATATTTCATGAAAGTGCCTGTGTTAGTTTCGGTTTCAATGCAAACAAAGAGAAAATACATTTAGATTGAAGTGGATTTGCACTGAAATAAAACAAAGATTTTTTTCTGAGGTTTCTATTTCCTTCCTCTGTTTTTCCTCTCTCCTCACCAGCAGAGTATGAGGCTAAATGAGAAGGGAGGCAAAAAGTAATTTTTTAAAATTCGACCAGTTGAGCTTTGTGTGGTATCAAAATGAAAAATGAGGATTAAATTACGTGTGGATTGTTCCCGTCTATGCTTTTGAGAGGAATAATGATTATTTTGTAAGCTGTGGTGACAGCTACCGGCGCCCTGGAACCAGCAGAGAGATGGGAGCTCTTGTTAAAGATGTTTTCATGGAGTGGGAACAAGGCTGGGCTGCTGTCACCAGGAGCAGAGCAGGGGCTGAGGTGTGGGGGCAGCTAATTGGTGTTAATGAATAACGAGAGGGGATTAATGAGCCCCAGGAGCTGCCTGGAGCTCAGTGCAGGGGCTGCAGACCCCCAGCCACAGCAGATTTTGGGGGGTCTTTGGCCACCCCCTGCCCAAAGCCAGGCCTGGTGTTTGCAGGACACCACAGGAAGACTTTCCAGGGAGAGTTTGTCTCCACAGGGGAGGCTGAGAAGTTTAATCCCCTCTTTAATAATTGCAATTAACTAAGGTGGGATTTAAGGGGGATTAGCCCAGTGCACTAAGGCAGTGTGTAAACACATCCTCGGCCTTGGGCTGCCTCAGCGTGGGGCTGAGCTCACCCTGCCCCTCTTTCCTTGGGATGATTTGTGATGGTTTTGATGTGTTTTAGAGGCACTTCTGGCTGTTTACTCTCCTGTGAGAGCACAGAAATTGCCCTGACTCTGGGGAGAGCCTGAGGGAGGGTAATGTGCCAGAAATTCCTGCCTTTTGCTGCAATTTCATGGGGTGATTCTTGAGATTGGCCTGTGCAGGGCCAGGAGCTGAATTGATGATCCTTGTGGCTCCAGCTCTGATTGTTCTCCAATTCTGTGATCATTTCACTGAGAAAACTTCTGGGCCTGGAGGGTCCTGCCCTGATTGATGTCACTGGACTCAGAATAAAGCTCAGAAGAGTTTAGAAGAGTCTGAGCCAGCTGAAATGGTGCCTTTGGCATGAATGCAGCTCCGTTTCCCTGGATGTCAGCAGCCTGAGCTCTGGGGTGCTCTCTGGGAGGCACAAGCACCAACCTGCATGTGCAGTGGGGCTGGCTGAATATTTCCCTTTTCCTCTGGAGTGTGGAGCACAATTCCCCATTCAAGGCTCAAAAAGATCATTTCTAGCTGGACAACTGAGGCAGAAATCAAAGAAATGCATTGGAAGAAGGGGATGATCAAGAGGAGACCATGGAAGACTTTCCAGGTGTCTGAAAGAGGCTTCATTTATCTCCTGGAGTTCTTAATTACTGAGCATTCCTAATCTTGCTTTGTGTTTAGATAGAGAGCAGGAGCATTACAGAAACAGCAAACACATAAATAAAATAACAGAAAAACTGCAAGGATGAGTAATTACTTGGGATCTGTGGAACAGTGAATTAACACTGAGGAAGAGGAAGCACCAGCAATCACTGCACACTGCCACTGATAAGAGAACTAGATATTTTTTTTTTCTTTGCTTAAAAAAGAAGAGATAATTCCCCAGGAACTTGTAGCCAAAACTCTCCCCAGTCAATTAATGACCTTTGCCTCTGCCTTGCCTCCCTCCAAGCTTTGCATGGTTATTATTTTCAGCTCTTAATCTGTGACAGTGATTTGTGTCTCCTAATAACTGACTGATTGTTTTGCTATCAGTCAGCTCCAGGACTGCCACAGCCTCTGCTCAGCTCAAATCTCACTTCATTCACCTTGTGCCTTCAAACAGAGCTCTGTCTCAAGCGAGAGGAAAGGAAAAACCCCCAAATCCCATCTTGCTCCTTACAGTTTTATTACTTAGGAAACTAAAGGCAGAAAATAAAGGTCACAAGAACTTTAAAACAACAGTAAAGTCTTGGGGACAGAAACGTTTTAAAGGAAGTTACAAGCTGGAATTGACAGGCTCTTTTATTTTTTTAGGATGCTCCAAGACATTTCAAAAGAAGCAGAAGCTCCATTATTCCTTCCCTGCCTCCCTTCCCATGGGAGGTAATTCAGAATTCTCTCTCTGAGCAAGGGAGAGCAGCTGGGGAAATGTCAAACATTCCCAAGGTGGGAGGGAGAGAGTACCCGAGGAGCTCACAAAGGCTTTGACTGGATTGGGAAGGAGCTCCAGAGCCCCCAAATGTCTCAGGAACCCTTTCCTCATCACGTCCTTAAACATCTCCCAGGTACCACGGGACAGCCTCCCCCAGCTGCGGGCAGAGGGTCTCACCTGAGATGAGCACCCTGGGCCATGGCCCCAGCTACATCAGGGTGGGTTCAGAGGAGACCAGACATCCCCAGGGGGAGTCCAGAGGAAGATGCAGCCCTTTTGGGATGGGTTTTCCTCCCCAGGGGTCCTGCCCTGCCCCAGGAGCCCAGTGTGCTGTGCTGAGAGCAGCAGGGCTGAGCTCCTGCAACAAAAGCTGCTCTGCTGCCCAGGGCCAGCGTCTCCTCGGGAAGCTCGTCTGCAAAAGCAGCTCGGGAGACTTGACAGAGCTGCAGGGGATGGTGTGGAGCGTTCTCCAAAGCACCCTGGGGACCCAGGGTCTGTTCTGCTGCACAAATGCGATTCCCTGTCCTTAGAACACCTCATGATTAAGCCACTTCTGAAAATAGGATGGCCTTGGATGGCTGCTGGGCACATCCCGTGTTTGCTGCTCTGCGAGGAGCGCTGGGTTCCTCATCACACAGGGACAGGCTCTGGGGGGCTTTTCTTCCTTGAGGAAGCTTCAAAGCTGCCCAGTGCCAAGAAAAATCAAACCCCAGACCCTGGCCTTGATTGAAACCCCCAGGCTCAAGACTGTGCAGTTTTTGTAATGTGTCAAAAACAGGGAGGGGAGGATCTGAAACCATCAGTGCTCCTCCCTTTGCTGCCTCCGTGCAGGTGCTCCCCCCTCACTTCCCTCCAGTCTCCTTCTCCTTCCCACCTGCCTTTCCAATGGGGAACCTCAATTCCCTGCTCCCCACGTCCAGCAGAGCTCCCTGAACATCCCTCTGTGCTCCCACTGCTGGCAAAAGCCAGGCTTCAGAGAGAGGAGTGGCCATGGAGTTCCATCAGAACTGGTGTCAGTGGCAGATGCCAGAGCTAATGAGGGAGGAAAGCCATGGGCTGAGCAAAAAGTCACATCAGAAATACAGAACTGGAATGGTTTTGGGTGAGTTTCACTGCATCTTTCTGTGGGCCAAATGATTTGATAACAGATCCTTGTTTCAGTCAGTTATTCCAGTTCCACTCCTGGGATAGAAGTGTCTCCTGAGCACGGCTCCAGGCTCCCCCTCCTGCAGAGCACACAGGATAACCCTGGCATGAGGAGGAGATGGATCACCACAAACATCATTAACAAAATAAATCCTCATCTAAAATCCTATCAGAGCTGGAGCAAGCAGGGCACTTGATCTCCTGTCCCTTGCAGCTCTGAAGCCTTTCATTACTGGGCTCACTGGACCAGGGAGGCTACAAGGCTGCACCTCTGGATGAGGTGATGAACAATTTACGGGGCTGAGGCCTCCTCACTTAACCCAAGGCACTGGGCCGTGGTGGGGTTTGCCAACCTCGCTGTTCCCAGCAGGAACAAACATTTTATCTGCTGCCACTTTAGCAGATCCATCCCCCCCTCTCCCTGCATTTGCCTGTGCTCATTGATCATCCCCCACTGTTTCTCTGGTGGGATGTGTTCATTTTTACAGGCCTTGCTCAGCAAATTCCAACCCCAGCGCGTTCCCCGGGCCCTGGAGCTGGGCTGAGCTGCAGAGCCAGCGAGGCTTTGTCCAAGGATGGGCTCATCCATGGCCTTGGGGACCTCTGATGCTTCTGTGCTCTTGGACAAGATCAGGAGACCTTCTCTGAGTGGAAGGCAGTGAGGGCATCCCATGGACAGCAGCACTTTGGGGCTTCCTTAGCTCAAATCTTCACTTTTGGTAGAGTTTCCAGCTCTCTCCAGTGAAAATGTTGTGGATCAACACAAACAGATGGATTTGTGTCCACGCTCTGAGATGGCTCTGGGCACTCTGCTCACTTAAGTTGATATCAAGAAGCTGTTTCATGAGGATTGCATCCACCAGGGTTCGTGTAAGCTGATCCCACAGGAGTTACACTGTGCTCAGAATTAGGGAAGAAGGAATGCTGTGTTATGGCAGGGAGGAGACACAGAGAAGGAGATGATGGAAGAGCTGCCAAGAAAATCCATGGATTGGGAGATTGTCAGTTCAGGAGCCACAAAGCAACCAGGAAAATGAGGTTTCCTTCCAGGGGGATTCCTGCCATCACTTGGAGAGCAATCCCAGTTGCTGGAATGCAGGCCCAGGTCTGAGCTGGCTCTCTGGGAAATCCCAACACAGCACAGGCAGCTCAGCCACAATCTGTAAAACCTTTGTTAGAGAAGGGTCAGTGACTCCTGGGAGGAACTCATCCCCTGCTCCAGTGCCTGCAGAGGGAGCCCAGCCAGCCTGACCTGGCCCTGCAGGAGCAGGGAGGCTCTGCTGGGCTTCTCTGGGGCTGGAGCTTTGGCACTGCCAGCCCTGCTCAGGAGTGATGGAGTGGCTGCATTCTGACTCACTGGAGGGCTGGAGCCAAACTGGCAAAGCAATTGGGAGTCTGTGTGAGCCAGGCAATAACTCTCCCTGCCTTGGTGACTGGGATTGATGAGCCTCTGCTCTTCCCATCTTTGGAGGATGCACAGGTCGATATTCCCTGCCCTGTGCCCGGCCGTGCCACCACTGCAGTCTGCAGCAGCTCCTGGGGTGTAAATGAGAGTCCTCAGCTGCCAGCCCCTCTGCCTGGAAAACATGAGGCTCATTTTGGCTCTGGCTGGATCCTCCTCCCTTCTCCCGCAGCCCCTCGGTGCTCCCCCCCTCGCTGCTCTTCTCCTGGACACATTTCCATGGAGCAGCAGCTGGGATGGATGCAGGATGGGCTCGTCCTGCCCTGCAGAGCAGCACAGGAGCCAGCCCTGTGTTAACACCTGAGGTCTGTCCGTGGGGTCAGCAGGATGCTCCCGGTCCCTTTCCACTCCAGGGGCTTCTCCCATCCAGGGAAATTTTGCAGTTTGACCCTGGGCACACATTCCCTGTGCATCCCTCGCAGGCTGCCTGCCCTGCTGGCAGCACATCCACCCCGAAGGACTCTTCCCCCCGGCAGGGACAGCTCTGCTGCTGCAGACAAAATGGCGGCCGGCATGAGGGGAGAAAAGGGCGGGAAAATGTGAGGGGAGAAAAGGGCGGGAAAATGTGAGGGGAGAAAAGGGCGGGAAACGTGAGGGGAGAAAAGGGCGGGATTTCTCGCTCCAGCCCCTCCTTTCCTGTCCCTCATGGACTGGGGAGCACAGGAGGCTGCAGCAGGGCCCGGGGTGGTTCTGTTCCTCCCAGACCACAGCACTGCAGATCCACATCTCTCTGCACCTTTTGCTGAGCACATTTTTTCTCTTTGGATTCTGTTTCCTTTCAGCAATGCTAAAGGAGTTTTCAGCTCCGTCTCTGTTGCCAAATGGAGCTGCTGAGAACATGAAACCAGAAATACTTTTTGTGTCCCTCTCCCCAAGCATTTTTAATAAAGGAGGGGACCCCAAGAAACAGAATCTTGTGGGTTTTCTCTTCTGCATCTCACTGCCCGTGGGCTGAGGTGAGCTGGGAAAAGCAGGCACCATCTGTGAGCTGCTCCTTCCCTGGCAGTGGAGACGAAGAGGAAGGAGAGGCATTCTGGCCACAGTTGTCCAGTGAACTCCAGTGGGTTGTGGAGAGTGACCCAGAGGGGAGCAGATGTTTTACCCAGAGGTGTGGGGAATGGTTGTGGGAGGGCTGGGAGTGGGTTCTCACAGGCTGAGAAACAGGTGCAGGGCAGGAAAGGCTAGGCTGGAGAAGGCAGATGAACGCTGATGGAAGATAAACAGGAGGGTGCTCAGCTCCCTGAGGGGTGCACAGCTCCAGCACTTCTGCCTCAGGCTCCACAAACTCCTCAGGCAGGTGAGTGCAGAGTTTAATGCAGGCACTTAACTCCATGATAATGTCCCTGTTATTGTTATAGCCCTGCTGTGCCTGCTGCAGCTCCAGCTTGGATTGCAATTGCCACTGACATTTGGAAAGTGCTGATTCAATGGAACCGCCATCTCGCTCACTCCTCGGGAGAGCTGGGAAGAGCTGCAGCTCTCCTGGGAGGGCTGGAGCCTCGCCAGGACCATGAGCTGAGCACGGAGAACGTTTCACCACCCATGTCCAGGTTCTGGGAGCAGGTTCAGATTGACCAAACACTTTGGTATAAGGAAATCTGCAGCTTTGGCACAAGAACAGCCCAAAGACAGGAGTGGGAAGGAATTCCCTGGGGCCTGGTCTAGTTTATTCCCATTGGGAGACATTTCCAAACCAAACCACCTCATGGACAGCTTCAATAATCAGAATTGAGAGGTTTTTTTTCCTCAATTAATTGTCTGCAGGGATCCCCCTGGGAGCAGCAGCAGTGCCAAAGGCAGGAGCAAATGGGGTCCCATCAAGGATGTGGGGTGAGGTCTCAGCTGAGATGGAGCCACCCTGTCCTGTGAGCACAGACAGTTCCCACCTCTGCCAGGCACAGCCAAATTCCCACCACCTGGCAAAAGAATTTTGGGCAAAACTTGTTTTTTTCCCCCACTACAAACCTGTAGGTGATGAAACAGGCTCTGAAACTTCCCCTGAAAGGAGCTGGAAAAGTAATGGAACAGAAAATAAAAAGAGGCTGAAAACAAAAAGCAATCTGCCATTAATTTTTTTCAACTTTTTGCTTGACTGGAAAAATTGAAAAAATTTCAATTCAGGTTAACTCAAAGTGTATTTTTTCTTCCATTTGGCCATTGAACCAAGAAAAGTGTTGTCTCTTAGCTCTTAGTGGCACCTCTCTTTGTTCGGTGCTGTGGTTCATTGCCCCCATTTTCGGGAGGCAGCTCCAGATCTCTAATCGTGGCTGCTGTGCTGGGGAGGCTGTGGAGCAGAAGCTCCACTGGATGATTATGGGTTATTTTGTTTTAGTGGAGGAGAGGAGAATAATCACTGGCCCACACTATCATTTGTGTCTTCTCTCCACAGTCAGAGGCACCAAGGACTCACATTTAATGTCATTACCCAGGGATCCCAAACTGAGAGCTCATTTCAGGGAAAAAACGTTGTTCTGTCAGTAAATGCCACTTTTGATGAGTGAGATGTTGCTCAGGAACGTGTTGACTTCAATCATGTTTTATTTGAGAGAAAAAAAAAAGCCACAGAGTGGAACTGTTTTGATTTTCCTTTTGAAGCGATTTTTCATTTTAGCTTTTTATTTTTTTCCCCCCATTGGTATTAAAATTCTATTCAGTTTTAAAAAGTAGAACAGGTGGGATACATTTCAGTCATGAAACCCAGGAGGTTTAAGTGATCCCCAAAGCTTTTCCATCTGCTCAGAATTTTACAGGGGGGGAAAAAATCCCATCCCAGAATCAAAGAAAAGGAATGATAAATTGTGAAGTCTCTCAGGAGAATTATGAAATCACAGAATGGACTGCATTGGAAGAGACCTTGTGGGACATCCAGCCCCACCCCCTGCCTTGGACAGGTTGAAGAATGGGCAAAATAATTCCTACAAAGGCTTAAAGTTCCTTATGAGGAGGAAAATCCTGACTCCAGACTCGATATGAGATCTGTGTTGGGTTCTTTTAGTTTATATGCAGTATTTTGGGAGCTCTCATTTCCCAGGTGGGTCTGGGGCTCAGTTAAAAGTGAGACACTTCCAGCAGCTCTGCCTGGGGTGGGTTTGAGCTTTGGGGGTCCCCCCAACACCTCAGATCCCACCTGAGCCCTGCTGGGTGTGGGGTCCCCAGTGCCTGAGCCCGCGGGGCTGAGCACAGCAGCCTCACATCCCCTGGGTTCAGCTCCAGGAGGGGAATGAAGGGAGGAGTGTCCTTCACCCCCCAGCAGGAACAGACCCAGGGATCGGCTGGAGCTGGGCCAGGCCAGGCTCAGGCTGGATTTAGGGCAAGATTCTTCCCCCAGAGGTGCTGGCACTGCCCAGGCTCCCCAGGGAATGGGCACGGCCCCGAGGCTGCCAGAGCTGCAGGGATGCCCAGGCTGGGGGTGCTGGGGGTCAGGGTTGGATCCGTGACCCTGTGGGTCCTTCCAGCTCAGGATATTCCGTAATTCTGGGATTTTCCTTCCTTTCCACCCTGCTCAGACCTTGTGCTCTGCTTTATTCTGAAGCCACCCCAAAGCCTCTCCTGCCCCTCCTGAAGCAGCAGCAGCTCCTCCCCAAATGTCCCCAGACCCTGCAGCTCCCAGCCCTGCCTGTCCCAGTGTCCCATCACTTCCCTGGATAATCAATCCCCAGTTCTCCCCCAGCCCAGCCCCTTGCCCTTCCCCTGCCTCCAGGGCTGACAGCCGCTCCCTCCCCACCTCTGGTCCAAACACGGCTCTGATGGGAGCAAATCAGCATG